ATCGACCCGAGTCGGGTAACTCGGTTATCCTTTGCCCATCATTTTTATGCTAAACAGGGCTCATTGGTAATCTGTTGGGAAAAAAATCTCTTGGTAATCCGTTGGGAAAATTCCGTTGACAATCATTTTGGAAAATTCAACTATCAACGTATATTTTATAGTGGTTATGGCGTTCTCGAAACCTGTGGCTTTTTGAAAAGGTTTGGATGCCTGAAGAGGTCATGGTTCGAGGGGCATGGAGAGAATGACAAGAGTTTACGGTCATCAAGAGTTAGCTAAGTAGTTAGGTGTCATTTTCCCGGTTTTGCTTTTGTTTTCTTTGTTTGTTAATTTCATGTTCTTGGTGTTTTTGATTTCGGTTTGATCGAGGGAAAGTCCTGGTGGTTGTATTTTCACTTTCTCTCGTGTTTGTTTTGTTCATTTATCTCGATCACTCTTTGAGTGTATCTTCCATTGCAGGTGTAATATTCAAACTTTGTTCGGTTTCTCTTTTATGTATGCTATCATCTATCGTTGAAAAAAAAAAGAGATAACCTATAACAAATCTTGAAAATTGCAAAAAATTTATTGTGTAGTCCTAATTTGAGTTTCAAATTTAAAATTCAAATAAGTAATTACTCACAACTTACAGGTTAATGTTAATTTGGACGTAAATGAAATAGACAATTATTAATAGTTTAATAAATTACTCAACTACTTAAATTTTTTTATTATTATAGTTTATACAAAAAGAAATTCATTTTAATTAATTGAATAAGATGAGTTTTATAATTATACTTATTATTCACATAGATTTTTAAATATATGATAAAACTATACCAAAATAATTTTTTTTTATGTAATCATCATTTTAGTCGAATTGAATTTCTAATAATAAATATAAAATTTCATTTATTTTAAAGTTTTTATAATATAATTTATTCTCAGTTACGTGCACCGTACATGTTGTTTACTAATTTTAAATAGACATATTTTATGTAATTTTAAAAATTTAAATTTCATATAACATTTTTAATAAATTAAAATAGGTAAACTATTATTACATAATGATCCCATTTAATTTATAATATTTAAAGAGAATTTTTAATTTATAAATATTAATGAATATCTCTTACTCGTGCATTGCTCGGGATTCATACTAGTATATATATAAAAAAGTTCTATTTACGTAAAATCGTTACGCCAAAAAATATTTTGTTACTAACTACCAAAATTTTTAAAACATTATTTCTTATTTTTTATTTCCTTCGGGTGGTTTCTATACCAACCGTGATGATACTTTTATTTTTATTTTAGATAAATACGATACCAATAACTGATCTAAATCTATTGATTAAAATTCTCAAAAAAATTAAATTAATTAGTTTATCTATTTAATTTTTATTGTTAGTGATTTGATATTTTAATATTAAATTTTAGACAAAATTATTATCAATTTTTCAATTTCTACCCAATCTAGAATTGTACTTGATTTGACAAATTCAAGTTAAAGGATATGATAAATATTAATCACCCTCAGGATAATTATTGGTGAACTGAGTAAAATATAAAATACTTAATATTTCATGAAATGCGTAGATTAAAAAATTTCTTAATTATTTTTTTAGTACAGGGACCTTCCGGTTTCCAAATCCACAGGAAAACCGACTAATCCAGAATCGAGACGGGCAGGATCACAAGGGCGGCAAAGTTCTCCCTCAAGAGTTTTAACACTGCTGCATTCCCAGGGCTCGAACACTAACTATGAATTTTCCCTATGTAGTTTCCATATCATTTTTTTTTCTTTTTCAATATTTCTTATTAAGTATTATTATCATTTCCTTTTTAAAAACTTAATAATATATTTAATTATTATTATATTTAATGCATAATAGTAGATTAAATTTTGTTTTATAATATTTCATTCGACACTCATCTTGTATGTATAAATAAAAATAACTATTTCTAAAGTACCATAGGATTATTACTTATATTTCACATATAAAATGAACTTAAATTTATTATTTAATACTAATTTAAAAATAAGTAAGTGATCTCAAGTTATCTATACAAAAAAATATAATTTACATATAATAGAATGTATTTATTACTATAAAATAGCAAGTCAGATTTTTATTTTTCATGGGTATAAATGCATATAATGCTAAAGAAATATAAAGTATAAGGAAACAATTATTTCAATGATAATATGTAGGATTTTAAAATGATTCATCTACAGGTCAGTTGTTGAACTGCCATGTATTATTAGATTATAAAGAATCAAAACAGTTATAATATGTATTATTATTATACATTTTGATAAACAAGTAAGTCATCAGTCAAGTTGCCAATTAAATTATAAGCTTAGAAACAATATATATATATAAATATATATATATATATATATATATATATATATATATATCTTTACAAATTATGATCATAAATAAATTATTATTTATTAATAATATTTTAATATATTAAACTTTTCATATTCCTTAATTCTAAACAAAAACTCTAAAATTGGTAGTTGTTTTTTAACGTCTGCATAAAATAAACATATAAATAATATATGAAACTATGATATTAATATTCAAAAATATTATTCAAAACTATTTTTATATTAATCAATATTCATTCATTGCTTTAATTTATACAAATTATTATTATTGTCTCGTGCATCGCATGAGCAACGTACGAGTTTAAATAATATATAATAGAGGATT